GTTTGGACTTAAAAAAAAAAAAAATAATCAATTTATATATATATATATATATATATATTAAATCTCATGTAATTTACTCGCGCGCAGTGCCTTAGCAAAATGGGTGTCCTTCCTAGGCAAAATAAACATTCCGAACGCGCCGGTGCAGTCCGTTTTGTCATCCGGGGTCGCTCGGACGACATCGTCGACAATTGGGTAAAAAACACATCAAAATTCAAATTTCATAAAATTTCGATTTGCGACTAATCTTCTCCAACAATCTATTCAAGTCCTCAACAGATAATGGTGCAAGCGATGCAAATTGTAGTGATCGGACGTGTCGACTCTCCGAATTGCGAAGTTTGTGCGCGTGAGAGTGCAAATTGTGCAAAAGGTCACCCTAAGGCTTAAAGGTCCTATAGGGACTCCTTTTGAGTCCCCTCATGTCGGTTTCATCTTTCTAAGTGCTGGAAGTCGATACCACACACGCGAAACTCCAAAAGGGGACATTGCCGCCGATCCTTTAGTGGGCCGCTTTCCTTGCTTTCAGATCTTCTCATTGGCTTTATTTCTTCCTTGTGGCTGATGGCCCATAGGAATACTTTCTAGAAAGCTCTATCGATCCTTTAGTGTGCCGCTAGCCGCCGCCGATCCCTGCAGGAACCTTTGCTGCCAGCAGATTTTTTGTCCCGTTTTCCTAGGCCCTTCCAGTCGCCAACTCTTCTCCAATTTGCTATCTGAACTTGCAAATAAGCCCAAAGAACACACATGGCATAAAGTAAACAAAATAGTCAAATATAGTGACCAAGAAGCATGAAATAAAGGTAACATATTGCCTTGAAAATTTTAAAAGCAAGAAAATATATTCATAATGCGACTAATCATCAAGGAAAAACTTAGAAGGGATTGGATAAATGAATAATAAACAAAGGAAGAAATACTATCCTCATAGCTTGAACATTTGGAGGAGTAAAGACAAACTTCTTTATATAAAAGTTTAGCTCACATTAAGCCGAATTCCTCATCTCTCACCAGAGAAGGATTTTCTGCATATTTATGTATATATAGTGTGCCTTTCTTAGTCATGTTTTTAAGATACATTCTAAAATTCCATTTTTTTTGCTATAGATTGTTTTTTTTTTTCTTTTTTCTTTTTCTTTTGGATATAAAGTAACTCTTTAGATTTGTGATTTTTGCAGGTTTATTCTATATTCAGTTGTGGATGCCTTATGCATTAGATTAAAGTTTATGAATTGTTTTTTAGTCTAGTCCTTTAAGATGAGAATCGAAGTTGTTCTCTTATTGTTTTTGCAGTTACATTGCATTGTGAAAAATGACAAACAAATTACAAAAATGGTTTCATATTGCGCGCTACACAGGTATTCCTATTTTATGTTGCTTTCTTAATTTTAAGTTATATTTTCTAATCTGCTCTGTTCTTCTTTTATGCCAGTCAGCATTGCTACTTGTTTTAGATTTGGGGCATTCACATGCATACCACCCAACTCTTATGTATTTACATATTTAACAATTATAATTTTATTTTTATAATTACACTACCCAAATTTTTCCATACCACATAAAAAATACCACCATTTTAGTTTTAAATTTGTGAAATATGTAAGGTTGGTATGTATGTAAAAATTGAAGTTTAGGTGTAAGTTATGTAAATAGACAAGATTTAAGTGGTATGTATGTCAATCTTCCTTTTGATTTTTAGCGGTGCAGGTGAACTTTTCATGTCATTTAGACTATTTGCAAAAATTGTAGAAATTCCTTTTGTTCATCAACTTTGGCTTACTGTTTGAAGAATTTAATTATTCTAGTTAATTATATTTTCATATTTGCAACTTTAATCTGAGTTGGAAAAGCTGAGATTTAATTTTAATTAACGCAGTATTCCGGATGTTGATAATGTTTTAATCATACAGACTCCTCTGGGAGTCTTCTCTAGTAAAAGTTTACTCCATAAAAAAGAGAAGGAAAATGGTCACAAATTGATTCGCGAAGTTGCTAGTGATGATGTGGCGATGACAACTCTTATTTCTGAAACATCTTCTGCCGCAAGGTGTCGAATTTATGACAAGATGGATTCTAAGGTACACCATAGCTAAACTTTATAGGGACATTTACATCAATAACACAATTCTTATGTATATACATATCTCACACCTAAACTTTTATAATCTACATACATAGCGCACAAATTTTTAATATCACATAAAAAATAACATGATTATCACTTTTCAAAAGTAAATACACATTTTCATGCATAGGTTTAAAACACCAAAGTGATATGTATGTAAATATATAAGTTTTGGAATGAGATATGTAAAATACATACGAATTATGTGCTAGGTATGTAAATTTCCCAACTTTATAAAGGCATATCATGAAATTTATGTTTTGAATCATTGTCTCTTTGATGGAACAAACTATTTAAAATTATTGAAACAAAATTTGGTGAATTTAAGATGATCGTGCGACTTGATTATTGATTCAAATTACTAATATGTTTATTTGATTGGATTTTGAAATGTTGTTTAACTGTTTTGATTTCATTTTGTTTTGAATGTTCACTTGTTAGCAATGCTTTTGAATTTTAATGTAGAATGGGTCCTTATAGGAAAGAGACGAGCTTTCGCAAAAATTATGACAAACGAAGTAATTTACTTCACCGGCACAAAACAATACAACCTAAATACATAAAAGATAAACCTAGAATTCAAAATGTAGGTAATCCTCTCCCTAATCCTAAGATTCAAGGCAACAATCACATATGACATAATCGTAAATATATTAAGCTCTATTTATACTCCACAAGAATAACTAACAGATGACTAAATTGCCCTTTTAGTATTGCGTCTAACATAGGTCTTCAAATGGTTTTGTGGGCTAGGTGTCGATGGAGTGGAGCACGAGGCGGGCTGTAGGCTTCATTCTGACATTACTCCTCTCCCAAAAAGATATATTGTCCTCAAGATGAAAGAGAGGGACTGTTGTTGGATCAAGTTGTATGACTCCCATATGGTGTCACAATCTGACAATTTTTTCTATTTAATCAGCACTTCTTTCTAACCTGTCGATTCCTAGTGCATTTCTTTTAACTCAAGTGACTCTAGGAGAATTTCCATATCTTCTGTCAAAGTAGAGGGAAGTGAAGATGAGGGCATATTTCATCAATGGCATGTCTCGGCTGAGATACATGGAGCACTGGATGGAGTTTTGACGATGATGACAATTTTAAACGATAAACCACCTCCCCAATGCTCTGTGTGATCTCATAAGAACTAAAATAATGTGTGGAGAGCTTCTCATTCATGTGACCAATATCCTCTGTTGATAGGGCTGGAGTTTAAACACCTTATCTCCTACCACAAATTGCACACCACTTCAATTTTCGTCAGCTTGTTTCTTCATGAGTTGTGCTTCCAATAAATGTCCCTTCAATTCCTCCAGCATCTCTCGAATCAATCTCCTGATATCAGCTTTGTGCCCTTCGGGGTAGCAGTATGGGTGCACATTGATGGGATAGACTCCCGACCTCAGGGTTATCACAATGCTTGTGTTCCCTCCGAGGAGGCAATCATCGCGACAATTGGAAAACTATTGTAAGAGTTGTTGGGTGTTGTAATCTATGTCGACTCTGTATGATGCGTCTTTTTCATGCTGTGGAACTCGATCAAGAATCTCAGCCTTGTATCCTGAATTGCCCTAACCATAATTTTGAGCATCACCAAAGTCTTGTACAAATGGGGACACCACCAAGTGCTACTGTCTTGTCTCCCTCCTAAAACTCCTTTGTCAAGAGTTTTCAATTCATCCCAAGTCTTCCTTAAGGACTGCAATAATTTCAAACCTAATATAATATTAATTTTACTTAAATCCAAGTGAAGAAAGTCTCTACCACCTAAATATTTTGAAGTGTCAAAATCAACCCCTTATAAACAACTCTGCTCTTCTACACTTGTCCCATCTCCATCATAACTCCAATGCTCAATGTGTCAACCATCTCAAGCCTCAATTGCTTAACTTTTTGGATGGAGATATAGTTGTCAGTGGCCTCATTATTTACCAACACCACTACGACGTTCTTTGCGATCTATCCCTGAAGTTCCATAGTGTGGTTCACATGGAGCGGGGGTTGGGTTCCCTACCTCGACCCATATTGATTTCTCTTCTTTCATATGTGTCGTGCCATAATCTGCCCGTTCGTCTCTTATAGGCTTTTAAATTGCCTTCTGATTGGATGCTGCTCCGACAAAATGCAATGGCTAGACCCAACGTGGGAGGGACTAGGCCTACAAAGGGTAAAGTAATAATTCAGGAGGTGCAAAACTGATATTTCAAGAGGGGAAAAGGCTAAATTGTCCTTCCATGTAAGTAAAAATATGAATTTGAAGAGGGGACAATTGCCCCCTTGGACCTTCCTGGGTCCACCTTTGAGCAAGAATATGTTTCACCCAAAAGGAAGGGTTAGGCTTCACACTATTACAAGGAAATTTGCCTTGAGACTTGTCGTCAAGACCAACAGAGCACTCAAAAAATACACATTTAACTTATCACACACCCAAAAATTAAGGAGAGTTAACATTTTTTTTAAATATTCAATATTGATTGATTTCCATATTTTTCAGGGGTTCTATTTCTCATCCTTTTCAGAGGTCTGATTGAGCAGCATCTTTCTTCATAAACTTTGTTTAGAATGATAGAATTTTCATTTTTTTCATGATCATGCAATTGCTCTAAATTAACATCATTGTTGTATATTGCGTTGTTAATGGCCTTTTCACTCAAGCTCCTCGTAGATCCTTCTAAACTCGATTTTTGGGGCATTTACATACAATAACGTCCAATTTCTATGTATTTACATACCGGACACCTATACTTTACCTTTTTACATTTACACCGCCCAAATCTTACATATCATATTAAAAAAACCACCATTTTAACTTTAAAAAAGTAAAAGACATCTTTTTATGCGTAGGTAAGGTTTCATGTTTGTAAAAATTAAAGTTTAGGTGTTAGATATGTAAATACATAGGAATTTAGTGGTATGTATGTAAAGCTTTCATGATTTTTTTTAGTGATTTTTAATGTTTTACAGAGCAAGCGGGAAGTGCCTGTCGTTCATTGTCTTGCTGGACTTCGAGTTCATTCTTTAGATGAAATTCAAAGTTTGAATGCTCCTCTGGTGATTCATCTTCTTCAGTACATATCATTTAATCTTTTTTTTTTTTTTGTTATTATGTTTTTTAATTTTGGTATATATGATGATTATAAAGGAAAGGTTCCTTATTTTGAACAATTCTATCAATGTTAAATAGGAGGAGCCAAAGTCTTTTTCGTCGTTCAGTGAGCGCCTGCACCACCTACGGGCAAGTCTGCCTTTCTTCTTTTTCCTATATAACCCCATAGGAGGAGCCAAAGTCTTTTTCATCGTTCAGTGAGCGCCTGCACCACCTACAGGCAAGTCTGCCTTTCTTCTTTTTCCTATATAACCCTATGGGCATTTACATACAAACCACACAATTCCGATGTATTTACATATCTCACACAAATACTTTAATTTTTACATATACAATATTCGAATATTTCATATCATAAAAAAATATTGCTTTTTCTAACTTTTGAAAAGTTAAACTCCTTTTTAAGCATAGTTAAAGTTGTATAGGTGTAAAAATCAAACTTTCTGTTAGATATGCAAATACATAAGAATTGTGTGGTATGCATGTAAATCTTCCATAATTTTATAAAGTTTGCATTTTCACACTTTTCCTAATTCAGCTAGCAGAAAACAGTAGGGTCTGTTTTGGTAGATCTGTAATACATGGATGGGGCATGTTCGCAAGAAGGAATATTCAAGAAGGTGAAATGGTGATTTCTGAACTCTAAAATTTTTTACTAATTTATCCTTCACTTGATGTTGAAGTCAACTTTACCCTTAGAAGGTGACTACCTTTCCTTATGTGATTTTCTTTGTAGAATCTATCGTCTTATTCCATTAAATTGATTATCTATACAACCAAAAACTCCACATCTTCAAATGCTTGTCTTCCCTCTTTTTCTTCAGGTCATATTTTGGGCATTTACATACATAGTACACAACTCTTATGTATTCATATATCTCACACCTAAATTTTCATATTTACACACATAGTACTCAGATCTTTAATATTACGTTAAAAACAGCCTTATTACCATTTTGTTAAACTGAAACATACTTTTTCAAGCATAGCTTTAAAACACTGAAGTGCTATATATATAAATACGAAAGTTTATGTGTAAGATATGCAAATACATAAGAATTATGTACTACATTTGTAAATTTACCTATATTTTTTAGCTTTGAAAAGTGTACATTTAGATAGGCTGTTTGATATTTTCTTTCTTAAATCACACATCGAGAATAACACAATAGTGCTCCATCATCGGATATTCGGGCTTCATTTAATGTGCTTCAAGGGCTAGTTGTGATGCAATTACTTACTTTTAACATTGCTAAAGTTTTTGAACTTCTTTTCATCCAAAATATTTGTTCGATTAATCAAATATAAAAACAATTTAAATATGAAAATATGACCTTATGTTCATCATCAGGTCCTTGAATATCGTGGCGAGCAAGTGCGGGGTAGTGTTGCGAATCTACGAGAGGCTCGGTACCGCTCAGAAGGGAAGGATTGCTATGTAAGATATTTTGTCTTTGTAATTTTTTGTTTTTTGTTAATTCTTTCATATAGTATAAATCATTCATTAGAGCTTGTGATTAGGTTCTATTCGTGTGCATTAATGTGCGAGGAATTTAGACTAGCTTTGCTCACTCCTCTTTTGTGGAAGCAACATATCATGGAGTTCAATACTACTCTCCTTCCATTAGTGCTTAGTTAACCAATCTAAGGAGAAAATTTGAAGATTTCAATCATTTAAATCACTGGCTTGGCCTATCTTCTCATGCAATATTACTATTTATTTGGTTTCTTTGTTCTCTAAATATATTTCATGTGAAATCGTATAATAAATGAATGAAGCTTTATTGACTTGGTTGCTATTGTGGTGAATGGTTGGAACTTCATCTTTGGAGATATTGGGAAAGTTTTCTAGTTCTCTTTTGTATTTGTTTTAGATTAAATCTCAAAATATTTCTTTGACTATTTGTATGTAGCCAATTTGATTCTAGAGTATTACATTTTTCCCATTTTAGTCCGTATATTATATAAAATTGATCCAAAATGGTCATTTAAAATTGTTTCCACTTTAGTCCCTTAACTATAGAAAATTGATTTAAATTTTGTTTGTAAAGGTTCGTTTTGGATCAATTTTATTAATCAAGGGATTAAATTGAAGAAGTGTGATACTTTTTTGTTTTTATGCAGCTATTCAAGATTAGTGAAGAGGTTGTGATCGATGCAACGAATAAAGGAAACATAGCACGTTTAATTAATCACTCTGTAAGTCCATAATCCATTGTGATTAAGATAAAATAAATTCATTTATTTTCTTATAATATTGGGGGTATCAATGCTTTCCGATGCAGTGCATGCCGAATTGCTATGCAAGGATTATGAGCGTAGGCAACGATCAAAGCCGGATCGTACTCATTGCTAAGACGAATGTATCGGCGGGCGATGAGCTAACGTCTGGCTCGTATCTCAATTTCCCATTTTTTTTTGTAATTTTGTTGAGTTTTTCATTTATTCCCGTGATGAGTAAAGCTCTAAAATAGTCCCGTAGTATTTATATGCGACTAATTTAGTCTCAAAGTATCACATTGTTTTATTTAGTTTCTCGACCGTACAAAATTGATTTAAAATTATTTTTTAGGTATTTACATATCTATTTCCTAAATTTTGTTTTTTATGTTTATATGACTCAAATCTCTTATATCGCATTAAAATGTTGTCATTTTAAATTTTAAAAAGTGAAAACTATGTAAGGCGGTTTGTACGTAAAAATTGATGTTTAGCTGTTAGATGTGTAAATACGTACGAATTGAGCGGTTTATTTAAATCTTCCTTCTTTATGTTAATCTTAATTTCTATCTACTTTTTTGTTATATGCTTTATATTTAAATTATGTTTATATATCCATCTTATGTTTATCCTCGCCTTCCATCGCAGCTACGATTACCTGTTCGAAACCGATGAGGCCGAAGAATGCAAGGTTCCATGCCTCTGCAATTCACCAAATTGTTGTAAATTTATGAATTAGGTGGGGTTGTAGATGTAAAACAATTCTTTCTCAAAGGGGAAGATAAGTCTCCCCTCCATTGAAACTGTGAGCTCTCTCCTTAACCATTATTGTTGAGTTTATTCTAATGTTTTTCTTATATGTTCAGTAATTATTCTATTTCATTTCTACCCAGAAAGTTAAAAAAAAAATGACAGAAAACTTGTGGCTTAAGGTGCTGACAAGAATGGATGGTTTTGTAAATGTAAATGTTAGCTGTTGGATCAGAATATTTCAATTATTATTTACACTTTTACCTTCTTAAATCTGTTGTAAATTTTGCAAAGTATCAAGAAACTGTTTTTTTTATTATTTATATATTTGGTATTGATGAGTAGGGATTTAAATAAATTAATATGGTTGATAATTAAAATACTATTATTGTGACTTTAGTGATCTTTATTGCGTCGAAGGGTCAACGCACCTGACCTGTTTGGGTAAACTGCGTTTTGACAGCTTCTACGTTTTGAAAATGCTGAAAGCAGCGTTTTCACACTGCATTTAGATGGTGGGAGCTTTATGACAGCAGCCTGACTTTTTCAAAAAAATAAAAATTTGTAATAACCATCGCATCTAGTTTATCAGCAGATTATTTTTAATTAGTTTATCAACAGATTATTCAATAAGCTGCAGCTGCCCCAAACAGACCCTAAACATAAATTTATAAATTGATTAACTTACTAATTTATAGTTTAGTTAAATATATAATTGATATACACGAAGAAGAGTATTTTATTTTTTAAAAATTAAAGTTGCATTGTTGATATAATGTGAAAATTTAGGCTGTATGAATGTAAAATAGCAAAATATAGGTGTATGTAAATGTCTCTATTGTGGATAGGGCTGTCAAAACGGCTCGTTGTTCGTGAATAGCTCGTGTTCGGCTCGTTTTGGCTCGAAATATTACTAATCAATTAAATATATATATATATATAT